TTTGGTCTCTGTATGCAATTCACTTATTGATTTGTCATTAGAAGATACGTTAATGCTTGAAGCAGATCCCTTATGATTGATATTTATAGGTGTTTCACTTGTTGATTTGTCATCAGATACACTAATGCTTGAGGCAGGTTCATGTTGGATATCTGTATGTGTTTCACTTATTGATTTGTCATTAGAAGATACGTTAATGTTTGAAGCAGATCCCTTATGTTTGACATTTATAGATGTTTCACTTGTTGATTTGTCATCAGATACTTCGATGCTTGAAGTATATTCCTCATGTTGGGTATCTATACGTGTTTCACTCCTTGATTTGTCATCAGATGTTTTAATGCTTGAAGCTGATTTCTCATGTTGGGTGTCTATATCTGTTTTACTTGTTGCCTTGTCATCAGATACACTAATGCTTGAGGCAGGTTCATATTTGGTCTCTGTATGCAATTCACTTATTGATTTGTCATTAGAAGATACGTTAATGCTTGAAGCAGAACCCTTATGATTGATATTTATAGGTGTTTCACTTGTTGATTTGTCATCAGATACACTAATGCTTGAGGCAGGTTTATGTTGGGTATCTGTATGCGTTTCACTTATTGATTTGTTATTAGAAGATACATTAATGCTTGAAGCAGATTCTTTATGTTTGATATCTATGTGTGTTTCATTTGTTGATTTGTCATCAGATACACTAATGCTTGAGGCAGGTTTATGTTGGGTATCTATATGCGTTTCACTTATTGATTTGTCATTAGAAGATACGTTAATGTTTGAAGCAGATTCTTTATGTTTGATATCTATGTGTGTTTCATTTGTTGTTGATTTGTCATCGTTATTATTTAAATTAGTATTTAAAGTATGTTCTTCATGTTGAGTATCTCTTGGTGTTTTACTTTTGTTAATCGATTTATCGTCTGAATTAGTCGAAGTATTATCACATCTTACATGCACTGATAACTTGCGCTGTGTATTGGTACCTGTTAATTCCTAAAATATTAAATATAAATAGTTAGAGGCGTCATATAACCCATAAAAAAAGAGGATTAATTAGTTCATTAGTAACCAATACCCCAATTTGAACGTAAGACAACACGGGTTCTCGATAAGATATTACACTGAGAAACAAGAAATATTACTTTGTAAAACTCAAGTAACAGTTTCTGCGTTATGGTATTATCTTCTTCCGTTAATTTACGATTTTCATCCTCGTATTGAGTGAATTGACATCGGCCACTCGAAATCTCATTCCAGAAGTTAATGCCGGTGTCACGGAATGTCTGCGGCGGCTTGTTATGTGCATGCAATATCATTTTTTGCCTCTCAAAATCTTCTTTAGGCAAGGCAGATATATAATACTAAAATATAATCATATAGTTTTTTTTTACAATCAGTTATAATTGTTATATAAGCTTAATGTTTATGTGAAGAATGGAATAGTACGAAGTGAAAATTGTAAAGAATGTCCTCAAGGACAGACAAATTTGTAATAAATGTAGATCGAGAAGTCGATTCGTTATCGTGGTTAATTGTTATATGTCCAGACGAGACAGGTCTTAAGTTTCGGTTTTTTCAGTGTGTTACCAATTCGAGCGGCAGTATACTTGTCAGTGACGATATGTAATTCTGCTCTTTTTAGGAAGATATTTGAATTTATCGGTATTGTTTCTGAAATTAACTTATATATCAAGAGACATTTCTTATGATTGACTTTAATGACAGACCATTTCTCTTATTAAGCGTAAAAATGACGCAGCGGAAAATCATACGTGAACGCTTTGATATTTTGATGCGATTCATTACTATACTTACCGACATGTATTTTATGAATGAGTTGATTTTTTTCTCAACATATGACGTTTCGTATTTGTTACCTACAACTAGGATCATTAATCCGTGCGTTGCTTCTGTTGTATATCTCTCAGTAATTACCTTATGACCCAATTGTTTTATATCTTTTAAAAATTGGATAAAGGGCATTGAAATTATTTGCACTATGAGTTTCAGCAACACATTCGCCTTCGTCGATTGTACACCAGCTTGGTAGTAAACCAACGTACATGAATCTTCATGAAACATGGTTGTTATTGTTAATAATTGATGGCCTGCAACGTGCGAGTACACAATAATGCCGGTAAATATTACGAAACATTTGTAAAATATGTAATATTAACAATTATACGTGAACTTTATATTATTAGTATAATATTGGTATGAAATAATACTTGTTAAATATCAACATTTCATTTCTAAGACAACTTCTAAACAAGGATTTTGTGTATTGTCTCCCTATTTGACTTCCTACCTCTCACTCTCTCTTTCCATACATGTGTGTGTAGCGTTTAACAATTAACAATTAGTGACAAAACGGACATATAAGTAGACTGTATCAAACTGAACAGGAAATGATTGTTTACCTTTATTTAAGCAGATGTCACGGACTGGCATTAGCTCTTTTGGCGTTAACGGTGCTATATTAAGTATTGACTTTTTCAACGTAAACTCGATTAGTTTAAATATATTTATGGCTTCTTCCTGGGTAATATTACCGTATATTAAGCCTTTTACATGCATTCGACTGAGAAGCCACGGTATGGACTGTTCAAGTTTATCAACGGTAATATCTGCACATACAATATCATCATTGAGGTCTCAGTAATTGAACATCTGAATACATTCGAGTTCTACAGTAGATTAAAACATTAGTTTTTTTTTCGCATTTATTTCTTACGATAATAAAACAATAAAAAGGAGAACGAACGAACAACTTAGTTAATCTAGAAAATATAATTCTCTTATGAAATAAAAATATTTAGAAATATAAAAAATATTTAGAAATATATTATGCTTTTAATAAAATGATTTTTGACTCATTTCATTTACTTAGAATAGTACAGTAATTTATTCTTTATGAATGTTGTAGGTCGGTACGCTTAAAAAAAGAATTATATTTACACGTACTTACATGTACTTATATTTAATAATTCATCGAATAACGGAGCGTTTTCCCTTAGAAGGACAGAAAGATAATAGACCGCTTGTACGTCCGGAGAATTATTGTTGAAATCTTTCAAGTAATTGATATACTGTAAAAGACTACAGGTAAGTATAATGCCACAGCTTAATTGATTTTAGAAAAAAAATATTCTGTCACTATTATACATACTCGTTCTTTGAAGATATCAAATCTTGTTGTATCGAACGTGAAGTTTGCTATACGTTCCAGGATTATTTGTAACAATACGTCTTGCTTATCATCACAACCACTTATACCAAGCTGAAAAAAAAGATCAGTCTTCGTGCGATAAATTTATTACGTTTGTTATACTTATTGTCATTGTTTTACTCACTGTTACTCCAACTTTATTGTTGTTCTCTTTAAGTTCTACTTTTAAATTAATTTCCTCCGCAGCGTTTATATGCTCAGTGAGAGAATCACGTAGCAGGTAGAGAAATATTTTATTTACACTGTAAATAAAGGGATCGGCACGGGAGAGCGGGCTACAAATGGAAAAAATAAAAGGTAGAAACAAATTGTTATTACTATTAATCATCATTTAATTATCATTACTAATTACAAGTAATTATCAGATTGGTCGATTAACAGTATGTATGATGGTCAAGTTTACTGCATACCTGGTTAACTCAAAAAACATATTAGCTTGCGGTATCTTGTATACATTATCTTTTACGTGCCAGAGTGTTATGAAACGCGATTCTCCTGTAATCCAAGGAATCTGCAAATTTCTTTCGTTAAAATGTAATGCATAATACATGGGAAACGTGGAGTGCCGATCAAGGCTATGATTTAGTTTAGGATAACGAAGTTCACGCAAAAATAAATTGAAAGTTAAAGTATTTGTTTCTAAGAAAGAGTTAGAATTGAATTACCATCAGCACTCCGCAGGCATTATTTACAAATTAGATTAGATATTACTATCTCTAAATACCTCAATTTCTGTCTCTTTGATATTAAAACGGGACGCCATAAACATTAATCTAGTGTCCGAAATCCGAAAGGTAGAAGTATTAGAAAGCTTCAACCATTTCTCAAATTTTTCTTTAGGTATTTTTTCCTCCTTGTATATAGTGCCGTACCAAAATTCATTGTTATCCGCTATATCTATATACTTTTTTGATATTAAATGAATTCTCATATTCCTCGGCTCCAAGTAATTAAAAACGGATGTGATACACATAGTGTTGCTTTTGATGATAACACGTTCTGCGATCAGAACATTGATCATTGGATACACAAGCAGCGCTTTAGCACATGAAATTACGAACGATAAAGATGCGGGGATCTTGCTGTGATCAAAATTCGCATTCGTAAAATCGTTGTATCGCTGCAAATGTAAAATTAACTTTCGTTTTTTAACATAATACGAATGTAACATCATAGAGTGCGTAAGATGTTCAGTAAATCGTAATTCAATTGGCGAAGAATTAAACAATTCTTTTCATTAAGTCTTCATAAAAAAATAAGAGCAGGCACTGTACCGAGTTAAATTTAAGGTAGTGCTCAGTGGATACAGAATTTTTTATCTTCTTAATGTGCATTAACGTAATTTCGATGATATCGTCGATATGCTTCATAGCGTCTTCGGTTAGGTCGAAAGAAATACTGAAAAAACTAAAGCCTCTGGCAACAAAGTCGACCTCACCGGTAATGGAATAGCACCAACTCTTCTCTTTCAGACTTAACAATAACGATTCTTCCCCTCCGTTTTGCAGATTACGGGAAATGTGAGATAGAGGCTACATTAGAAAACAAGTAATAACATAAAATGTTTACTTATATGACAAATATAATACTCTGTATATCTTATTATTAAGAGAAATTATATTACCAAAGCTTCATAAGAACAATGCCGCAAATCATCTAGCGGAAACGACAGCACTAGAGTATTTATATTCTTTCTTGGAACTATGTACAACTTATTGAAGGTATTTTTTTCAACATTAAATGATTTCTTATGCCACGATTCAGCATTAATCTTCTTGTTTAATATCTCACAAAAGAGTTTTGCTACCGTCTCTTCAAGTGTATTTATATCCTCTAAATATAAAATATTTTCTTAAGCTTAAGATATGATAAACGTCGGTTGAAAAAAGAAAAGTCGAGAATAATATATTACAATAATATATTACAGTAATATATTACTATTTATATGCATTACTTATAAATAAACTGGCGCTTTACCGTTGCTAAGAACACACAATGACATAATATTAGCTGAATAATGTTCCTGGAAGAACGATATTACTCTCTCTCTGACATCAATGCCGTTTTTTTTTGGATTTATGTCTAATGTTTGTTTATTGCCCACCCCGAATTTAGAAAACGGATGAGTCGAATTCGCGAATTGCCTTCTCAATTGGGAGATCCGACTGTCATCGTCTACTAAATATTTCTTGGTGAACTCCAAATCTATAATGTTCACTTCTTCTTCTATCATATTTTGCGGAAACAGAGGTGCTATGAATGCCTGAGCAAAATGGTCTAAGACATCGTGTAACATTCCCAAGCCTACGTCGAAGTAATAGTAGGTATGATCTAATTTCACCTCTGCACAACTCGTGCCTGCATGCTTCGATATATATGTACGATATTCGTACATCCCTGGATATTTTGTCGATCCCGCGAATAACATACGTTGACACAAATGCGCCAATCCCGGCAAATCGTCCGGATCGGACATGTATCCTGTCGATCAAGTAGCATTTCAATGTTTAATCAACTATCTGTACAATCGGAAATTTCTATGATCATCGATCCAAATGGCATGTTAACATATTAAGCATGTGGTAACTGTCCAATTAAATTAATTATTCAATATTCACACATAAAGTCAACCCTTTGAAAAGTTAACGATCTTGATATGGATATTTATCAATTAATTAATATATAATTATAGAATTAAAAAAGTCAAGTGTAGATTAAACTGAAAGATAGTTCATTGTCATCTTTATGCTAACATATAAAACGTATGATGTAGGTTTATTAATTAATTTCACATTTAGATACAAACTAGAAGTCAATAATCATATTTATGTGTTACATTCAATTTAACACACGTTAATACAATATATGTGCGTTATAATTACCGACATTAACGTTGAGTGCAGCGGCATGTTTTGTAGCCGATGGATCGCTTATTAGAAGCACTTTTAGGTCATTAGCGAGTATTAAGCCTCTGTATGATCTTTCGTCAAGTCCTGATTTATTAATATCATCGTGTTGTTCTTTCACGTACTTAAACGGAGATTCCATATTTGCTACTGAACTCTTGAATTCGAATATCTTATTTCCAGAACAAAACCTTAACAAGGATATGCTCAAGACCTCTAGATAGATCTAGAAGATATGTAGTATGTGACCTTGTCACAATTTATGATGTTTACTATGTTTATTTAAATATACAAGGTGAAACATTTAAAATAAGCACTTCACTCTTTAATGTCCAAGCTTTACATATTATATAAAAAATGTTTTTTATGCAAATTTTAGTACTAATAATAATTAAACATGCTTTTCTTGACATAAAAACAATTGCTTTTTCTTATCGTATGGTGTGTAAAATATGAATTACGTATTAATTATATGAGTTATATATTAATTAATATTAGTTTTGCGAAAAATATATACTCGCATGCACGCGTAATTTCTCGAAAAAATAAGTACAATTTTGATTTTATCTAATCTCATGTACGTTTACCGTGTTATGCTATTGGAAGAAATATTTGACCACAGATATTTATATCGGTTTAAAATGATTAATAATGCCATGATTCTCCAATTCCATTATATATATTTTTCGTGTACGAACATTTGCCTAAGGTTGGCGGCCTCTACTTTTTTCGATGGTGATATATCTTTTCAGATATAAACATTATAAAAATATGATATGATACATAGATTCTGCGAAATAACTATATTTTTTATATAAATACATGTATAAAAATAATATTACAGCGTAGAATATACAATATGTGGCGCATTATTACTGCGCTTCCAAGATGACGCTTGAATTATTGCGTTTGCAAAATGATATTTTCATTATACGGTATAAATCGGAAGTTTATAAAAACATCTTGTAACTTTCAAACATCGAAATCTCCGGAAGTAAATTATATAGAAAAGAAGACAACTTTCGATCGTGCATGTGTTATATTAATTATGTATTAATTTGCAAACATGTTTTCATCACATCAGTCAAACGATGAGAGCAACTCTGTTTCAGTATAAAATTATGAGTTCCATATTAAGTTTAAGAGTGCAGAAAAAACTAAAAAAACAAGTGTGCTAAAAAATAGACGAAAAAATAGACGATAGTCAGCTGGAGGTACTTTAAACCTCAAAAAATAATAAATTATATAGTTATCCGCCATATATTGATTTATAAACTAATGCAAATTTTTTCATGAATGTCGAATATTAGGAAAAAACAAGACAGGGAACGAAACTTCTTAATTATTTTTTACTTCCGTTGATGAAAATTGATAATAGTGCGTAAATAAGTAAATAAGCAAATTTATTTAATTAAAATTTAATTTAATTTAAAATTTCGGAGCATGAGAGGAAACAAACGCTGACTCTTTCTAAACGAAACAATATCATTAATTATCATAGGATTTTCTCTTTCATTTGAATAATCAGGTATATCATTAAGTTTTTCATATTTTTTATGTATGTCTAAATAATCTTCTCTAGCTAATTCGAAATGCAATTGCTCATTAGTTTGAGAAAATTTCGTATCTTCTTTATGTGTATGTACTTCACTTATTTTAGTTGGTTTATCATCCAATGTTTTGGTACTTAGAACAGATTCCTCGTGTGTGATATTCTTTTGTGATATCAATTTATTTTTTTCAATTGATTCTTTATCGGATGGCTCACGGCTAGTTAGAATTGGTTGTTCACATTTGCTATTTGTAAGTTCTTTACTTGTGTGAGCTGATTTGTCATCGGATGGCTCAGTACTTGAAGCAGGTTTCTCATGTTGGGTATTTATATGCGCTTCACTGGTTTCGTCGTCGAATAGCGTAATGATTGAAGAAAAATCCTCATATTGGGTCGCAAGTTCCTCATGTTGGATATTTATTTGTACCTCCTTTTTTTTATTCTTTGATTTCTTATCCGCTGGCATATTAAACTTGACGTGAGCGGATTTTATATGCACCGATAATTTGCGTTGTGTACTAATATCTATTAATTCCTAAAAAGGTTAAATATAAATTATTAGAAAAACGTTATATTGCCTATTATAGGGAAAATATTTGATTCCTTAACGGTCAATGCCACATTTTTTAGCGTAATGTGACATGGCGTAATATTTTATAAAATATTATACTGAAGAGCAAGAAATATTACATCATAAAATTCAAGTAATAGCTCCCGCGTTATGGAATTTTTTTCATCCACTGGTATATTTTTTCCATTTATATGCTGCATCCATATTTTACTGTATCGATATCTTTGATTCGAAATTTCATTCCAGAAGTCAATGCTTGTATTGTGGAATGTACACGGTGGTGCGTTATGTGTATATATTTCCTCTTGTTTTTTAAATTCCATTTCAGATATAGCAGATATGTAATTCTAAAATATGATTATTAAAAAAGAAATGCTTATAATTATAAATTACATATATATGATTACATATAAATTATATATAATTATATATGATTCACATATATGTATGTTGTCTTTATATAACCATATATATAATCATATATAATTACATATAGAGACAAAATTCATATACAATCATTTTTTCCCGGGATATACATGAAAAATGCTGTAGATGATACTTCAATAAATATATATGATTGTTCTTATTATTATTATTATTATATAGGCTTAATCTTTATGTGAGAAACAAAGGCAAAGCCAGGATACGAGGTGAAGGTTATAAAAAAATATCTTCGGTTATAGACAAACTTGGAATGAGCAGTTCGACAAGTTGGCTCGTTATTGTAGTATAGTTGTCATGTGTCCAAATAAAAGTTAGATCTCGGTCTCGAAAAGTTATGAATATTCTACAACAATGTTATTGTATAATTCATTGCTATGCTTACCAACATAGAGTGTAAAAATGAATCAATCCGTTTTTCGACATATTGCGGTTTTTTCTTGTCCCCTATCACTAGAATCACCAAGCCATGCGTTATTTTTGTGGCATGCCTTTGAATAAGTATCTTATGGCCCAGTTGCTCCTTGGTTTTCAAGGTATAGATACAGGGCCTTGAAATTATTTGCACGATGAGATTTAAGAGCATATTCGACTGCGTCGATTGCATGCCAGCTTGGTAGTAAACCAATGTACACGAATCTTCTTGGTGTTGATTTTCTATTGGAATTACAAACCGGCGACCTGCAATATGCGAATAAACATTATGCAGCGCTACGTAAGATAAATAATATTAACATACTAAGGATTATAAAGATTCGATTTTATTTATTTTCTATGTATTTTTCATTTCTTAGAGTACTGTGTACACGCTATAGCAATTGAAGTGATCATTAAGGCACGTCTTAACTCGTAGTATTCTAATTAAGTAATATTTATTTCTTTATTTTGGCAGAAATTTTATACTCTTACGAGATAATTTTTATTTATTTTAAATACTTAGCTGTGATTGGTAAGTTAGTAATCAATTTAAATTGTAATTCGATTGCTATACGCCTGCGCGTGTAGAGTCAATAAAAAAAAGTTAATTCGATTCTTAAATAAAATTGGATTATATTCGATGAAAATAAATTATTCATCAAATAATCGCCGTCATTATTTACGGTTGTTCACCAATATTCTAGCGGTATTCGTATATCTTCATTATAAAAAATGGTTTTCCCACCGAAGAAAATCGAACCAAACCTTTTAGACTGACTCTATGTATGTTCTTCTATATATTTTCTATATTAACGTTGTTTACCGTCTTTTATACAAGTTTCACGGTGCGGTTTTAGTTGACTTGATGACGTATGAGGCAAATTTTCGAATGCATTGTGGATTAGTTTTACTATTTTCAAAGTTTCCTCTTCGATAATATTACCGTATATGAAGCCTTCCACATGTATTTTACTGAGAAACTTCTGTACGAACTGTTTGAATAGCTCAACAGTAATACCTGTATAACATTTTATAGAGATTTTAATAATAATTAAATTTGGATATATTTAAATTTTATGGTCGATCGAAAAATTAGTATCTTCTTTTGTATAATTCTTATGACGAAGGAAGAGAACGAACATGCCAGTTAAACTAACATGTAATTATTATATAAATATTTCGAAATATATTATTTTACTAATAAAATCGTTCGTTTTATTTACGTGTGCAGTAATTTATTTTTTATGAATGCTGCCTGCGTAGCACGTTTAAAAAGAGAAAAATTTAGTCCGAGACAGATTTTTAGTGAATTTTATGGATCAGAAAATATTCGTCGTTTCTTAATGAACAATTACATTCATACATACATTCAATTTCATCTAATAATTCATTAAGTAACCAAATTTCTTCTCCTACAGCAGCAGATAAATAATAAAATGCCTGTGTATCCAGGGGATGATTCTTGAAATTATTTAAATCGTTGATATACTGTAAATAGTTACACAANGCTATAATTAGAATTAAGAAAAAGTATTCTATCTCATTGTGTATACATGTTTTTTCATGGTATCAAATGTTGTATGGTCGATATCAAGATTTACTATATGATCCAGGATTGCTTTTAATAAAACGTCTTGCTTATGATCATTACCACTTATACTAATCTAAAAAAAAAAGCGATTAATTTTCGTACAATATTATCCGTATTACAATTATGTTTTTTATGATCATGTTATCGTTATTTTACTTACTGTTATGCCAAATTTAATAACGCTCTCTCTAAGCGTTACTTTTAATTTGGCTAACTGCGCGGTGTTTATTATATCAGTAAGAGAATCACGTAGTATGTAGAGAAATATTCTGTTAAAATTGCAACCAATAGGAGAATAAGAGACGATTGGGCTATAAATGGAAAACATAAAAGGTGAGAAAAACTTGTCATGACTATTATTGCCATACTCATTATAAATAATTATCAAATCAATCAATTAACCGTATAAGATATTTAAGATATATCGCATACTTAACGAAATCGAAAAACATATTAGCTTCTGGTATCTTGTGTACATTATCTCTTGCATACCAGAGTGTTACAAGCGACGTTCTTTGTATAAGCAAGGGACTTGTAGATTTTACCTACAAATTTTTACATTATTAAAACATATTCTGACACGGCGAACGTGCGGCCGAAGCCATATCACAATCAAGATAAAGGAATTTATGCGAAAATACATTTAACTAGAGCATTTCTCTCGTTTTGTTCTCGAAAATTGTAAAATTCACAAGGATTTTACCAGCACTCCGTAGGCAACGTTTGAAAATTGAGAAATAATTATTTTTAATTACCTCAATGTTTGAGTTCTTAAAAATAAATCGAGACGCCATGTATTCATTCATAGGGGAAAAATTAAAAATTTCATTCTGATTTTTCTCCCATTTGGTGATACTTTCTTGCGACATTTTAACTTTCTTATACATAATGCCGTACCAAGGTTCTTTCGTTTTCGCTATAGACGCGCACTTTTTTGTTATTATGTAAGCCCTCATGTTTGTAGGCTGTAAGTAATTCATCATCAGTGGCATCTCTTGTTTGTTCCATTTTGAGATGATACGTTCTGCGCTCAGAACATCGCTCATCGGATATAGAAGCAGGGCTTTGGCATTTGAAACCATATATGAAATGGATGCGGGGATCTCCTTGTAACGAAAAATCATATTCGTAATATTCTTGTAATCCTACAAAAAATATAAAACAAATGTAAAAAATTTATTTATCTCTTGACTCGAACATATTATAAACGAATGTGATATAGAGTAAAGTATGTCTAAGAAATTGTGACGCAACTAAAAAGTAAAAATTTCATCAAGTTCGTGTAAGGAAAAGGGACAACCTGTAAGTATTTTATTTACCGTGAAAATTTCATCGATTTTGCGGGATTCAGTGATCTGTTCTTTCAACCAGTGAAGATATTGGAACACTAATTTGATGATATCACCAATATGCTTTAATTTGTCTTCAGTTAGGTCAAAAGTCATACTAAAAAAATTGTATCCTTTGCAAATAACATCAGTTGCACTTGTGAACGAATTACACCAATCCCTAGCTTTCAAAATTGCAGTTAACGATCCTTTTCCTCCATATGCGAGAATATAGGAAATATAAGACATAGACTATATTAAGAAAAAAAGCAAGTAACAAGATAATATGTATAATCAGATTATATATATATGCGTACACATTTTTTTACGCGTGTATATATGAGAAATATTAATAAAAGTTATATTACCTTGGACGGATATTTTTCTTGTAAGTCAGGCAAATAAAATGATAGCACTAAACTATTTATATTCTCCTTTGGTACTATACACACAGTGTTAAAAGCAGAATGCTCATTCATGAAGGACTCATAACATGGCTTATTGGTCAGTGATGTGGTTTGAATTTTACTTGATATCTCACAAAATAGACGCGTTACCATGTCTTCAAGTTTATCCAAATCCTCTAAATATATAAAATCACAAACATAAAGTATAAAATCATAAGCCTGATAATTAACTTCATTTTACTATTTATAAATAAACCGGTACTTTACCATTGCTAAAGACACATAATGACATAATATTAGCCGAGTAATGTTCTTCGAAAAACGATACTAGTCTGTCTCTGACATTGATGTCCTTTTCTTTAGGTTTTATATACAATGTTTGCTTATTGCCCACTCCGAATTTAGAAAAGACTTGACCCATCAATTGTCTTCTTAAGTGTGAGAACCGACTGCCATCATCTACTAAGTACTTCCTGGTGAATTCCGAGTCTATAATGTTCACCGCCCACTTTATCATACTTTGTGGAAACAGAGGTGCTACGAACGCCTGAGCAAAACGATCTAAAGCATCGTGTAACTTCCCCAGACCTACATCAAAATAGTAGTAAGTGTGATCTAATTTTACTTCTGCACATGTTGTGCCTCCATGCTGCGATATATACGCGTAATACTCGTCCTCTTTTGGATACTTCATCGATCCTCGAAGTAACATATGTTGACACAAATGCGCTAATCCCGGCAAATCGTTCGGATCGGACATGTATCCTATAATAACATATTTTCATGTTTAATCATTTAATCACGAATTTCCGTGATCACCGATTGAAATGTCATATTAACATATTAAGCGTGGTGTTTGTTCAAATAAATTAATAAATACATATAATTAATATAGAATTATGCAGAATTAGTTAAATAGATAATATTATATTAAATAGATAATTTAATAACCGAGGGATTCATTTGTTGTTATTTTAGTTCTAAAACACAATAGCGATGTGCAAACTTTTCGATTATTTGATATTCATATAAATTAGAAGTCTACAATCATACTATATGTATTGTATAAAACATACAATGTGTGTTAATACGTGTTATATTACAATTACCGACATCAACGACGAGCGCAGCAGCACCTTTTTTGGCCGATGGATCGCTTATTAGAAGAACTTTCAAATAATTACTGAGTATTAAACCTCTGTATAATCTTTTGTCATTGTCCGGTTTTGTTATATGATCGTATCGTAGTTTTATATACTTATATGGAGGCGCCATATTTTTCACTAAGCTTTTGGATTTAAACGTCTATCTAGAACAGAGCTGTAACAGGAATACACGCGCAAAAGCTTCAGATTTAGAATATATAGTTCTTGACCTTTCCATAATCTGATGTTTACTGTATTGTATTTACTTATATGTATAGGGTGAGACTTAGAATAAGCGACTCAACTCCTTAATATCTAAAATATATATATTTTTAAAAGATGTTTTTACGTAAACTTATATTGTTTTTTTTTTCAAGTATTTTATAATCAGCATATATCTTTGCTTCTAATAAAAAAATTTCGTTATTTGTATCAAATAAAATTATTATTTTTTTTTTCAAATAAATTAATTCCTCGTATAATTTTGCATGTAAAGATATTAATATAGTGAAAAATGAACATTTTACGAGATTCTGTTTCATTCGGACATGAAATATGCGCACGCAATACTTTGAAAATGTTACATGTTGCAGTTTACGTGCTTGATATTTCTTATTTCAGTTAGATTAAGGCTCCTGATCCTTCATTGCAACTATCATTATCCGATGACGTCAGAAGCGAGAAAACATGCCAAGAATTTTTGTGTTATAGTTCAAATAAAAAAATATTCCCGCAAAATGATATTTGTAATTGATTCAACACTCTTGTAAAATCGTCCGAACACTTTTCTTTTACTCAAACTATCAATAAATAGTTGCAAAATTAACTTGATATGAAATTTACTTTCTAACCTCTTTTCTCATGATTTTTTCAATGTTAATTTTACGACTGTTCATTGATTGTTCGAGGAAAGGAAAAGTATTCGGATAATTTTAGAAGTGTGCTGAATCGATCACAAATGTCACTTTGTGAATATATCTTTTTATTTGGACGTATAACGCAAGAATTCTCGGCATGCGTTTTCTCGCTTCTGACGTCATCAAACAAAAACAGTTATAGCGAAGCACCAAGAGCCTTAATTTATAAAATAATATTCGAGAGGCCCGATTTGTCAGTGGAGATCAACATTTGAATTTGATAAAAGCCCCGGCACATATAATATGTTTATCGCCTAATATTATTTTTTCTGCAGAAATATTAGACTTACCTTTGGCTTGTTTGTATTATGGATCTAAGAATCTATGGATGGAGTATAAAGTAAACTTTTAGGCAAGAGAGTTGGCTAATTTGCCGTAAAGAGAGAGAAAGCACTCTCCTTTTTTATTCTCTGATCGTCTCTTTCTATAATAAGATACCGTCGGTTTTTCAACGAATGTAACCGAAAATATTCAAAGTTTACGTGGTATACTACAGTCTAGTGAAACAATTTCTCGAAAATGCTAAAAAGGATTGTATTTCGAATTTTCGACCATCACACTTCGTTTTATCGAGTTTAGAAACTTTACAATTTTTAGATTTTTGACAATTTTTTAATGGAAAAAATATCAAAATAGATTTTCTGCAGAACTAAAGAGTACTTCTTTCTTTACAAGTTATCATAGTTATATGGAAGCACTTCTCTAATTATAAAATAAATGTATTATGTTATATTAAATATATGTCTATATTTTGTAAAATTAATGATTGAAGAAGCAATTCACATCCGGAATCAATTCACATCCCGTACTTTAATTCAGAAGTTAGAGAATATAAGATGTATCTACACTTTCGGGAATTATCGGGTATGCGACGGAAACACCCGACAGTGCCCTATTGTAGAAAGAGACAGCACTACATCCTCTTTACCGGATTTACCACCGGATCTGCCTTACACTCCATAGATCCATAGATTCTTAGATCCATGGTTCGTACGTTGCGCAGGAAGATCCATTTCGCATGTGCAATAATTTCCTATTTTTTTTTATTCACCATTTTGTTTGATATTTGTATCCTCATCTAATAATGCGTATAATGTGTACAGTATCGTTTCTTTCAAATCTTTGCGTTTCTTCTTAAGGAGTCTTAAAATATCCGGGATGAGACTTCAATTCCACGTTGTTGTCATCTTCAATCATTTTCGCGACTGGAAGATGTGTCAGCATATTCCCGCTTATGAGCTCACACTTGTCGCAAGGATCCTTTTTTTTATCCGGTTGAGACTTCTCGCCGGCAGTGGCACTCTGTGTCTGTTGGTTCCGGTATGTAACTGTTGGATTTTCTTTCTTATGCAGTTGAAACTTCTTGCCGGCAATGGTACTCTCTGTCTGTTGGCTCTCGTGTGTAACTGTCGGATTCTCTTTCTTATGCAGTTGAAGCTCCTCGTCGGCAGTGGCATTCTGTGCTTGTTCTTCTGTGGTTCTTCTGTACAACCGGTCAGAGGTTTCGGAACATCTAGTTCCTTACTATCAATGTATTTATCTACCTAAGAAGTGACCTTTTCACTATCTGACTTGTCCTGATCCATGTCGACGTATAAGAAATCGATCGAGGTAACACCATGGTGCACGTTTCCTTCCTCGCGATCACCGCTTTGGCTGAGAAATTCCCTGAGAATATTTTACTCTGCACTCTTAGGAAAGGACGAGCACGTGTTCGAGATATCTTCCAAATACGACACACTTAAAGAAACAACAAAATCTTAAATCGCTGTATTCAGGTGGAAAAAATTGAAGAATAATAAATACCTAGGGCATTTATTGGTAATTCTTATAAAATATAATAGATATAACATGTGTGTGCAAAGTTATTTACTCAGCGTACGATGACAGTTTAACTGTCGACGATTAGGAAACAATTTGTGAGAGTATGACAAAAGCTAGGTACTTGTAATTATTTGTAGCTATTTGTCATTGACCTTATTTTTTGATGTTTTACGGTTCGATATAAATATGTATACACTTTGCCCTAAGGATATAACAGGTGGGCTGATAAGTTCCCGGTCTAATAAAGAAAACACAACTTTTTTGGTAAAAATAAATTTTATTCATCAACATAGTTTCCATCAAGAGCGATAGTCACTCCAGCGCCTCTCTAACATTTCTATACCTTTTTTAAAAAACGATTTATCTTTAGCCTCAAAATAGGCGTTTGTTTCGGCGATCACTTCCTCATTAGAGCCAAATCTCTTACCTGCAAGCATCTTTTTTAGATCTGCGAACAGGTAATAGTCACTCGGAGCCAAGTCTGGAGAGTGGGGGGGGGGGGTGCGGAATCAATTCGAAGCGTAATTCGTGCAATTTCGCCATCGTAGTCAAAGACTTGTGACAGGATGCATTGTCCTGGTGAAAGAGCAATTTTTTTCTTTGCATCTGAGGCCGTTTTTTCGATATTTCCTCTTTCAAACGATCCAATTGGCCTATGTAGCGATTGCTGTTGATTGTCTGGCCTTTTTCGAGGTACTTGATAAACAAAATACCGTGCGCATCCCAAAATACAGACGCCACAACCTTGCCAGCTGACTGTTGCACTTTTGGCTGCTTTGGAGGTTCCCCGGCTGCTGTCCACTCAACTGAGTGTCGACTAGACTCTGGTGTGTAGTGGTGGATCCATGTTTCGTCCATGGTTACGTATCGACGCAAAAAGTCTGTTTTATTGCGACGAAAAAGCTCTAAACAGTGTTCAGAATCATCGACTCGTTGTTTTTGGTCAAAAGTCAACACGCGCGGCACTCACTTTGACAACAGCTTTTTCATAGACAAATGTTTATTCAAAATAAAACCTACACGTTCTTTGGATATATTCAGAGTCTCAGCTATCTCCAGCAACTTCACTTTACGGTTCCCCAAAACGATTTTGTGGACTTTTTTGATGTTTTCCGGAGTAACCACTTCTTTTGGGCGACCAGAGCGTTGTGCATCACTGGTGTTCGTACGACCACGTTTCAACAAACCAATCAATAATTGTTGATTTACCTGGTGCAGAGTCCGGATAACGCTTATCAAGCCAAGCTTTTGTTTGAACGGTGTTTTTTCCCATCAAATAACAATGTTTTATCAAAACACGAAATTCTTGTTTATCCATTTTTTTGTTTATCAACAAAGTCATTCAACTGAAACCACTCTAACTTTTTATCCACAGGGCGAATCGTCATGAAATTTTTTCTGCTACCGTCTAAAGGTTAGTATTTACTAAAACAAGCATCGGTTCAGCGATTGCAACGCCATCTGTGTGTCAGAACGGGAACTTATCAGCCGATGTGTTATAAGATGGATTGCTGTATGTTTTCTAATAAAGTTCGGAACATTTAATGTTCCCCGCCATTTCCAAACGAAAAACGTCTGCGACAAGAACCGTCAATTTCATACGTTAAAAGTCTGACGAAAGCAACGTTCGTTCGTCTTTCATAAAAATTACGTGTCGAAACTTTCTCTCTCTCTCTCTCTCTCTCTCTCAACGTCGATTCCGTACGAGATCTACTTGGTATCGGCGTTCGAAAAAGCACCGTCCTCGTCTAAAAGTTCGTTCAGTGTACATAATAGCATTTTTCTGAACTGTCTGCGTCTCCTTTCGGAAAGTTTCAAAATGTTCGGGATGAGACTCCGGTAGAAAATCAAGTCCGGGTGGTTCGAATCGCGTGCCTTCACTTCCGTGAAGAGGAAATCTATCGCCGATGCGATCACGTCCTCGGGTATCACCTTGTAGTGCCGCCAGCAAACATTTGAGGTAGTGGTGGAAGAGGAGGAGGAGAAGGCGGAAGGAGACTTCTCGTTTGGTCGAGTGTCTTCGATTATATTTTGTGATGAACCTTGTCGTTCGCCTCCTTCGCGAATCCGATCGGGTCTTGATTGTCCACGTCAATTGCCTTCTCACTCCAATTGATTTGACTATTGTCCGTTTTGATTTGCTGATTTACGTCGACGTATAAAAAACCATTAAAGGTGACGCTGTTCGCAGTGCACGCAGCCTTCTTGCTTTTGATCGTTCTCACGGGATATCTCCGAAACGGTCTCGTTTGTGAATCTACAATTAACATAGAAAAAAACTTGAATTTTCTGTTAATTGATTGACACTTTCGTATTAATTGATTTGATGCGGGATGCCACTACCACATGCAGTAGCTGATTCTTATCGTTGTTAAGAGATCCCAAAGCTTGCATCAGACTATAATCGGATACCCTGTATTTAAGATCGTCTTAAGTTCATCTTCAGATATTGTGCGGCTCACTTCATTGGTTACACAGCACCTGAAAATAAACTTAAGACTTAAAACACAAGTGACCATAAATACCGGCCTGGAACGCTTATGTGACTCATCGAACCTGTGGCTGATGTTTTCTTATTGGAGTTCTTCATGTCCATCGCTGCACACCGGCGACTTCTGTCCTCGTCCGCTGATGCCGCAGTACAGCATACGTTTACCGACTTTCGCCGTCGTGGCGATGTCCTAGTGCCGGCCGCGGCTTGACTTCTTCTATTCACCAGAAATTTCATCGCTTGGTAAGCGAACTATTTGCTATGGTAGGTCATGCCGGCGGTCAACAGCGACCTCGAGTGCTCTTCCTTCTTCATCTCGCGGTAGAAATTTTTCCGTAGATTCCTCAACTTCCGTTTGATCTCGTCCTTCTCGATGCGGAGTCGTTTCGCGAGCTTGGCGACGGCTTCATGACGCTTCCGCCGGTCTTTGTATTCATCGCATTTGGTATTTCACAGAACAGGCCGTTGGTGATACAACTTGATCAGCTGCAGCACCTTGTTGAACGGCCATTTCGTTGCGGTATTCTCCATGATGGCGATCGAGTGTTATTGAACGAAGGAGCGAAAAGGGCGTATTAGAATGTGTGTACTAGCGGCTTCCGGCATAAATATATCAAGGCTTTGGTAATACAGCTTTTTGCCGCCGGTAGCGTAATGTCCGTCTCACATTAGCGATTGTTAATTGCGTCCTCGTCTATTCGATTATCTCCTGACCAATCAGAAAGAAGCCGTTGGCGATTTGATTGGCCAAGAGACGCAGATGCAATCGACAATCGTGAAACATGTAATAGAACGGTCTCTCTCTCTTTTTCTCTCTCTGTCTCTCTCTCTCTTTCTCTCTCTTATGAAGACGCGATTTTATGTGAAATCGCTGCTATTTCTATTAAACGTATCAGAGAGAGATATTCAATTGGATATTTTGTGAAATCGTTTCTTCATCGTAAAAATCGCAATTTCGGACTTTGGGTTAAAATACCTCGGTTTCCAGAACACGTAGGGCAAAAGCAAAGACATGTATAGTTTTCTTATATAATATAAACTTAAACGATTTCGCTAGCTTAATATCAAACTAGCGGTGCGTCGGTTTTTTCGAAATGGCCTATGACAGGCCTGCACACAATTTGGACATTTCTTTGGATTTCGCCGACTGCCATCCACACTCCCCTTGTTTCATAACGTCTAGTCTCCTCTCCGAAACGTGAAAGTTTAATCTCAGGAATGATATTAACTAGAAATTGTACGAATAGGGGGGGGGGAGGTGAATGTTACTTGAATAAAACCATGTTTTTATTATTTATGAAAAATATTTCTCCTAAATATTTTGGAATATTTATCATAATCTTCCTCGTACTCGACTTTCCCGGACATTTGAATACTTACAAAATATTTAATATCTACTGAATACTTTTTTAAATATTTCACAAATATTGTGTGTTGTCTAGAGTAGCAAGGCATCCGCAACATATACGAGCATAGTTGCTATTGATTCAAGTCTTTTGTGAAATTACGCCGACAATAGAACCTAGAAAACTGTTACACGTCGTTATATTTCCCGGGTAATTTCTCCCGCCGAATTGAGAACGAAGCATTACGGTATATAGCGGGATAGAAACGAAGATCGTACTCTTTGAACAGCCACATATGTTAATTCTATATTTTCACCGGATGATAGCCTTCTTTGAAAACGATTTTATCATGCGCTGGAGATTTTGCTTCCGGTCTTTTTCGCTATTGTTTCAAGCAAGCCAACGCTGTAACGTCATAACGAACGGCCGGGAGTAGCTTGCGAAACGTGTACGTCACGCTCGCGATCTATCGCCGCGCGGTAATCGGAAATTTCCGTCACGTTTCCCGTCGTACACTAGCTATATATTTAATTATTGACGAGAATACAAAGTACCGGTTTCCTTTCTCGTGTGTCACGACCTGCGAAGGGCTTCCGCGCAATTTGCTAAATATTAAATCCCCGTGATGGTGCTGCGAGAAAGAAACACGAGTGTTGAAGCAGGAAGATGCGAGAGGGAATACGCAATGAAACGGTCTCTCGCGGAAGAAAGAAAAGTTGTTTAAATAAGTTTCAACTGTTTCAAGACGTTTATTCTTGATTCAAGTCCCATCGGCAAACGCGAAGAAAGTGTATTGTCTGTTCGAAAGGTTAAATTAAGTGAAATTTACTCGACGAATAAAACAACGAATTCGCCCGAGTCGAAATTTTGGCCTCATTTTAAGCTTTTAATTGTACAACGCAGCAGGTGCTAAGATAGCAAAAGAGGTAAATTTCAATTTTAATAATACAATTCACTCCTATTTCGTATCCTAGTGATGTTTTAAATTTCCGTTTTCGCTGTTCTAGCATCAGAAATAGATTGTTCAACGTGGCATGAAAATTAAATCTGCAAAATTAAAGGTTTGAGGAAAAAGTTAACAAGTGTCAATGTTGTCAAAGTAGATTTTTATTAGTCTGTCAAGTAGACACAAACTATCTTTAAAAGGCGAGTAAATTAGACACATGGAGGACTTCGTCGCTCAAAAACGAAGGTCGCTGCGGGACATCACGTGAAACGTAGACGCCAGAGGCGTTTGATCGCATATAAAACGTCGCTGATGATAACAGCGACATATAGTCCAAGGTATATAATACACGTTGCTTCGCGTGAGGCGCCCTTAGGTGCCGCCCATTGGTCTCGACGAAGTCGCGCCGTGCGTCACGTCTCGGAGTGTTGGCGAAGGTGGATATCGGAGGGCAAACGTAGGATATAAAAGAAAGAAGGGAGAGAGAGAGAGAGAGAGAGAGGGAAAAAGAGAGACAGACAGAAGAAAGAGAAGACAAAAAGAAAGAGAAAGGAGAGGCGTGTGGTTCTGTCTCGAAGGGTCCCCTCATTGCGGCGAGAAAGCTCGCCATTACTCGCAGTGTGCGCTTCTCTCTCTCTCTTTCTTTCTCTGTGTGTGTGTTGGTGCCTTAAATTAATGTACGCATAATGTGTAGGACACGTACGTCGGCCACATAAACCTGAATGGACCTTCGATATATTTTACGACGAGTCTACGCATTGTACATGCGGATCGTGCGCGTGTAGTCGCGCACGCTACACGAAAAGGTCGACGTGTGAAGAGGCGCGTTCGCGAGAGAGCATTGGCTGCACCTTCGACTGGATACACATCGAAGCGAACGAACAAGGAACGAATGCACACGTTCGTTGTTGCAATTTGGAGAATGTGTACAACGATGTGTACAATGAAATGTGCCGTAACGAGTCTGAACGGAACGTTTATTCGAGCCGGTTTGTTCATAAGATGGTTTATCGAAGAAAGTTCGTGCGCGTTTAGTCGCGAATATTCCTGACGGTAACATGAGATTTATCGTGTTTTCTTTCGCAGAAAGTTGAGTCCATGTGACCAATGTGCTATTATCAGCCTGATCCAATGAGATAGCCGATTTCCTGGCGGCGACCAGTCTACAATGGCAATAAACAAAAATCAGTGATAAATTTAATAAATATGAGTAATTAAAAAAAATAAAGAAAACCACGATTTTTACCATTTTTTTCGTGATGCCTGGGCCTGAGAGACCTGTGATGTTACTGCAGCGTTAAGATCAATATGTTACTTTCTATATACACTATATATATACACTACAAGCTATCGCTGGTATCATTTAAATCAGCAAGCTGTAGTCACTACCTTAAACTGCAAAGCGCTAATTCTTCTTTAATGTCATCCTCATTTTACTCTAGGTCTTGGGTCGTTATTATATCAACATTTAGCGATATATTATTGCATACATGGAAAAAAGTTAGTCTTAAATTAATGATAGATATTCTCATATATAAACAAAAGTATTATAATATTTTTAAAAGATTAATAAACAAATTATTATAAAGATGATTATTAAGATTTGTAATCTTGATTCGAATAAGTTTATATTGATGCAAGTATTAATTGTACTCAATTCAAGATTACATTTTTCTAAGAATATTATAATATTCTTGTTTATATATAAGAATATCTATCATTGATTTAACACTATTTTTTTCTGTGTATCATCTACATTCAACGTGTTATCATTGCATTTTACTTATTCACTCACTTTTCTTTCTTCCTTTCACGATAACTATCTACATTTATCAGATATTAACTTTAATTGTTGCTCTTACAGGATTTGTCCCAGAATATAATAAAGTCGAGATTCTATTCATCCCAGGCAGAATAAATTTCGGAAAAAGATGTCTGAAATATATCTAAAAAAGAAAAACAGAACGTCTTTTAAACATCTTTAAAATATTTTTTAGAAATTCGTTCTGCCTGGGATATTACACATTCGTTGTTCGTTCGCTCAGCGTATACCTACCCTTCTTCGAGCGCGACTCGACCGAAGCCGCGAATTCTATTTAATGAGCACGACGCGTGGTCACGTAATGCGAAGCACGCGAGAAGCGTCGACGCGAACGTTAACGCGAACGCGCACGCTCTTCGCGGCGTTTGATCTTCAAGGAAATTCCGAGTCTTTCGCGAACGACTTCCGTGAGTGATTTTCATAATAACGTAGACAGAAGCGACGGAAGATCGCCGATTTCATTTTAACAAATAAACCCCGGCGAAAACCTTTAGCGAAAACCACGCGATATCCACGCGCGAACTTGAAACGCGCTTAATCACATGTCCCTGCAGGGCTCGGCCCGTGTAACCGACGTATCATTAAGACCGGGCCGTTCCAAATGAGAGGGAAGAAAAAGGGATCCTCCCGTCGTGCCTCAGATCGGATTATACAGATATACGACGACGGTGCGTGACGGGCGCATACGTGTCGTGCCTGTAAGATCTGCGCGCGTGTCCCGCGAACAGATACGAGGCGTCTGCGATGCATTTCGTCCTGCGCTTCGTCGTTGTTGTGCGATATTATCTCGAGCATCTCAGATAAGCCGCTCGAGGAGCCGCCGATATGACCCGCGGCGCATGTTCTCGTGATTACGCAATTTTTTCTCCCCTTTTAACCCTTTGCACTCCGTTGTCGCCGTATTTGCGACATTAAAAAGCTAACAGTAAATCCGCTGTCGCCGTAGCGGCGACATGGTTGTTTTGCTGCCTCGGCGCCCTTAACAGTTAGGTAAGCAAAATAGTCTGTGCTTATCTTATAGTGTTTATGATACGTTTATTATGCTTACATTGTAATAAGAGTAAAAAGTGCTCTATTTAAGTTTATTTCGTCACATTCATAACGTTATAACCCTTCGTGTAGTGAAGATGGAAGGCGAAAATTTTGACAATAGTTGTGAAATAAGTGATGTGGAAGATGAACTCGATTTTGCGTTGCTTGCCGACGATTTAAGTGAAATAGAATTAGAAGATCATTTAGAGACAGATAATGACGATAGTGACGTAATAGTAGTTAGAAAAAAAAGAAGAATTGCAATTATTGAATCAGATTTAGAGGACGAAGATACACTATCTGTAGACGGCNTGTGGAAAAGCCAAAAATTGTTGTTAACTACACGGCTTCAATGGGTGGTGTTGATCGCGCTGATCAATACGCATCATCATATTGTTTTCTAAGAAAATCTCTTAAGTGGTGGAGGAAGATGTTCTTTTGGGGAATGGAGATGTCTGCAATAAATGCATACATTTTATATAAGTGTGTAAAAAAAAGCAAGAACGAAAAACCACTGTCCCATTTGAAGTTCGTCAAGAGATTAGTCGATCAACTTGTAGGTGAATTCCGCGATGATCGATCAAGACCTTCCACTTCAGCAACTGAAACAAGACTGGACAAAAAACTGCACATATTGCGAAAAGGCAAGAAAAGAGATTGTATTGTTTGTTCTAATAGACAGGAAAAAGGACAAAGACGCGAAACTTCGGAATACTGTGATACTTGTCCCGGTAAACCGCGAATGCATATGGGCAATTGTTTCGAAAGATATCACACTTTAAGAAATTTTAAGTCCTAAAATTTATGTTTTTCTTTTATAATATAAGTTAGAATATGTTTTGTTTATAAAATAGCTAAGAAATAAAAATTTTGTTTTATTGAAACGACTCTATTTTTCTTCTACATCATAGGTATGTACTTGGAACTAATATAGTGCTGGAGTTGCTGGTAGCCTCTATGCATTACTAGGCTGGAGTGCAAAGGGTTAATCTACGCGCCACGCAAGGCACGCACGAGCGGCCGTCCGACGCGAGTGACGGCCTGCGCGGAACGTCGCGCGGCTTCAAGTTTTGTTGGTGGTTTTCAACTTGTAAAGATGAAGCTATAAATGAAGGACTGTCTGTAATAGCCATGTAAAATATGCAGTAAGAGACTGAAGCTACCCGAGTTGAGATTTTGGTCCTATATTAACTCTCTACTTGGTTCTACCATTAAGTCTTCTTATGCAGAGAAAACGGAAATAACTTCTCATTTGTAGCATCAAAGGAGCGCTAATAATGTTCCTTTCATGCTACAATGGGAATTTAGACCTCTCAGGGTGGAATTTTATATTCTACTTTAGGTCTTCAAGTGGAGAAAACGGAAATAACATTTCCATTTGTCGTTCAAGCATCAAAAGGAGCACGATAGAAGACTTAATGTAAAGCTGAAATTTCGACTCGAACATCCTCTTCTATTTATTTCGTTTGAAATTTTTTCTTCTATTTCTTTATAGATGAGAAAAATACGGTAATGTTTACTAACTGATCCAGATAGTATGTAAACATTTAATGTATGCTTTATGATGGCATTTCAACATTTTTTTTTCTAAAATATGCTTATTTTGAGAAATATTCATTTATTACGCCATCATTTTAATCAAAATATTGACTTCTAGTTACTATAATAATTCCGGATTGCGTTCTCTTTCGGACAAAATAAGTAGCAATATTTATGGTATCAGAATATCGCCGCAATTTTCACGGTATCATGGACTTGTTCGATTCCTATTAGAATCTTTTCGTTATTCTCCAGATTTTACCCTTTATTTTATAGAGAATAATTGAGCGATTCTAATTGGAATCGAACGAGTCCATAATATACACTCAAACGATCTTTTTTTATATGTTGATAAAATGTTATATAAGGACGCATCTTAACGTATTTATGCTAGTCACGATGCAGATGATATATCGAAATACGTCAGTCCGGGGACTTTAAATAATTGCGGTAAAACACTTGGAACAACGCTTTGACCTTCTGAAAATCCACCTTGCCTTTGGATAATTAAATAATTTAGGACCAGACAAGAGTTCACGTCGGATCTTCCGTAGAAATTCTGCCGCCGAATAAACTCCCCGTTAAGTCGAGTCTACAATAGATGTTGCAAATCTTAAGCGTAAAAAATTGACCAATCGAATTATAGAAGAACAATCAATCGTGATTGGTCGATTTCTTACACTCGAGGCACCCTATTGTAGATACAGTCATTCGGGGAAATTCAACGCAAATCGAGACTCGATATCTGCGAGCCTCGTTACGTTGAATTCTCGCTCGATTCCACCGTTGGATTTGACGATGAATCGAGCGCGTTCAACTCCTTAACATCGGAGAGTCTCGTGCAGCACGATAACACAGGCTCGCTTCGACAATCGTAGGGAGTGCACGGCGCCAACGATACGGGCTCCGCCGGCGGCGGCAGTACATACGACCACGAGGGGGTTTCTCCTCCGCGATTAACTTCCAGCGGCTGCGGCGGCAAGCGACGGGGTGGTGGGGGCACACCGTGACGGCTGCATCAAGCGCTTACCACGAGTTTTCGGACGGCAGCGTTGCGAGACAGGTCTACGGACGGCGCTCTGCTTCTTTTTTCCCAACGGGTGTCTTTTCCGTCGTTGCTGTGAACCGCGTTCTATCGCCGCCGCCTCTGCTCTCCGTTTTCGACCGAGAGAGATCGCGCGCGCGCGCTATAAACAGCGTGTGTCGCGAGTGGACAGTTCGGGGACATGATTTTTCGTCTCCTCCGTGCGCTTCAATATACCGTGTGACACAGTGCGTGATCTCTCCGACATTCTCATGGTCAGCGACCACCGCGGACACCTGTAAGGTAACTATCTGAGCGAATGAAGGAGCGTGTTGTGTGTGCGTGCTTCGTCGAAACTTCCGCGCGGTCGATACCCGAAATTGAAGGCTCCGTGGTGACCCATATAGCGCCGCCCTTTAAAGATACCCCGGAAAATCGGCGGTGCGTTTCGGTCTCTGCGTGTTGGGATCGCGCACGTAAATTACAGATCCGATCTTGAATGCGCTTTCTTGCGCTTTCTACATATTAAATGAGACGAGCGCACGTCCGGAGGAAAGGAAAAATGTGGGAAACTGTAGAAAGTGCAGCCGAGGAAGCGGCGGTCTCGCGCGCGCAATATTTTAAACCGCCGGCTTTGCGAGTAAATAAATAAGGAGAGAACGCTCCTTCTCGCCTTTCCTTACAGTTAAGCGCTTCCGTCGTCGTTATCGTTTACGCGTCTCCACAAATGATCACATGATCGAGAGAATCTCGTAGGGAACCTCGAGACGATCATCGAGATTCGCGGA